AGTTAAGCAAACCTCTCTGCCCAATTATTGCTGATATTTCCTTAGAGAGGCATCCAAGATTATCACAAAGCTGTCAGTTGTACTGCTGAGTAAGAAGCATACATAATGGTGCTGCATTTCCAACCAAACTCTCTCAGGAAGTATTAGAACGGGAAACAAATCCATCCACTAAAAGGTAGGTATTATCAGTAACATGCCCTATACGCAGCTAACGAAGATAGGCAAGAATGCAATTCAACTCAGCGATCTTTTAAAAACATAGACATATATGCCACCTTTAAAGCCATTAGTGCTTGCACTGGTGAGGTTGATAAATACTATCTCAGAAGGCAACAGGCCTTCGGACTCATAGGGTATGTTAACAACTGAAGTAGTCATGTCACACAGAGATTGCATGGATATCAAACAAGAGCAAAAATGTTAATCGACCATTCATGCTCTAAAGTGAAATAATAAGTATTTTTCGTTTTTTAATAAGTATGATTTCGAGACTACCAGAAGATCTTATATATGAGATGTATTCACCCTATTTCGTTGAAGAGGATGAAGGACTGATAGTCGGATTTTGCCGCAATGATATGCATATACACGACGTTTTCACTATATTTCACATAGCCTTGCTTTCGCAAAAGTTATTCTCATTCAGGGTGGACTGCAGTTTATACCTCAACTAGGTTTTATCAGCACCACCAGCGGGACTCGAACCAAAACACTGCAGCATATGGTCTCTACAGATTAGCCACTACGCCACATTGCCACGAGTGCTCTCGAGTCACAGAGCAGGTGTGAATTTCAAGGAAGGCCAGGCGATTTCCCATATCACATCCTGAGCTGAGATTGTCGATGAAGCAATGTTGTATTTGATATAGTAATCGGCAAACTAAATTATTTTTCGTTTTCTTATGAGTAGGTTTTTGAGACTACTGAGAGATCATATATATGAGATGGAAATTGCCAAGCATTCCTTGAAATTCACACCTGCTCTATGGCCCAAGAGCACTCGCGGTAATGTTATGTAGTGGTTAACGCGTCGATATCATACGCTGCAGCTTCATGGCTCGAGTCTCGCTGGAAGTGTTTATAAGATCAAGGAAAGGTCGAAAATGCAGTCTATTCTGGATGTGAATAACTTTTGGGAAAGCAAGGCTATGCGAAATGCAATGGAAACATCATTTACATTCATATTGTTGTGAGAAAATTCAACTACCACTTCTCTCATAACCTAAACGAAATAGAATGAATACCACTCATAAAATATAGGTACTTTTGCTGGCCTGATTATTTAGGGTCTCTACTCAGAATAACGTCCAAATTAGGTCTCATTTGGGCCAGTTAACTTCCAGGCCAAAGGGATTGAAT